GTTATGCTGTAAGCACGTGCCCACTTTGTAAGGTGGGCACAGTTCCATATCTATAATTTATATACTGTAGATTTAAAATTTCTATACTGTAAATCCATAATTTCTATACTATACATTTATAAAATTTATACTTTAGATTCATAATTTCTGAATCGTAGATTCATAATTTAAATACAGTAGATTCATAATTTCTATACTGCAGATTCATAATATTTGTACTGTAGATTCATAATTTCTGTACTGTAAATTCATAATTTCTAAACTGTATAGTTATCAAATTATGAACATATAATTCTCTGATTTGTGAAAACAAAGTTCAACAATTGGAATCTAAAGTATAAATTTTATGAATTTACAGTATAGAAATTATGGATCTACAGTATAGAAATTATGGATATAGAACCTTTACAAGGTGACATGTGCTCATAGCATAATTTGCCGGTTAGCCCCTGGTCCTCAGTACCAAATGCCATGCGTCTTAATTATTGACCTAATGTATTTCGGTTACTACTATACTTCATTGGATGAGTGTAACGTTTTGATCGAGTTGGATCGATATGAGATTTATGTCAATTATTCAATCAAAATGATGATATTATCTCTTATTATTCTACAGTTATATTAATTTTTTTAAAAATATAATAAAAGATGAATAAAAGAAACTCAAAATAAGTAAAACGTGGTATACTCATTCCAATTACATTTGCAAACAACAAACAAGGCTCCCTAGGTGGTGATGAAAACCAAACTCAAATTAATGTAACCCAATCACATTATAACAAATCCCAATAACTTCCAAGACACATTGATCCTTTCGAATAAAATTTACAATTTAACTCAACTAATCCCATTGACTAAAAAATGCTTCATAATAATGAAAATTCAAGTCAATTTACTAGACAATAAATAGGTAGCCCATTGAGTCCTCCCAACTTGATCTAGAATATGTAACAGATTCAGCCATTATTGTATTTTTAATTTGGGTCGTCAAATTTTGACTCAACCCATAACTCTCATCTACGTAACAAACTTCTCCAGCTAGCAAATTTGTAGTTATAGCATTTCGGAGAACGTAAATCACGTACAATGACTCAATGGTTCAGCATAGGGCTAAATGTCAGTGCACCGAAGGGATGAGCATAATTCCTACACTGTTGTTACTGAAGTTCAAACCTTGGTCTATTCTCTCAAATATTGTCTACTCAACAAGTAAGCTAAGCCCGTGTAGAAAAAAAAAAATCATATTTTGACCAAGAATTTTGTTGCATTATCTTTTTACAACTATATTCTATTTTTAAAATAGTTTTTAACTTTTTATGAGAGCAAACACCAATTTTGGTCTCATGAGTATTAGCAAAATGACAGTTTTGGTCCATATGTTTAATTCCTAGCAATTTTCATCCACGACTATTGTTTTGATTTAGTATCAATTTTCATCCACGATAATTGTTTTAGTGCCAAAATTCATCACGCCGGTCACCCTTTCGTTTAAGACATGCCGAAAAATAAAATTATTAAAGGTATTTTCATCATTTTCAAATTAAGATCTCAATTTGAGCATTAATAAAGAGATTTAAGTCCTAAGATCTATTCCAATTCACAGTTCTCCTCCACAAATTAAGGTAGGATGAAAAGGAGAACTGCGAATTTGGATCGATTTTGAGGCTTAAATCCCTTTATTCATGCTCAAATTGGAATCTTAAGTTGAAAAGGACAAAAATGCCCTTAAATTTTTTAGATTTCGGCATTCTTAAATGGAATGGTTATAGCGTGATGAATTTTGGTACTAAAATAATAGTCGTGGATGAAAATTGGTACTAAAACAATATTTGTGAATGAAAATTGGTAGAAATTAAACATGTGGACCAAAATCGCCATTTTGTTAATATTCGTGGGACCAAAATTAGTATTTGCTAATTTTTATGATATATTAAGCTATAGTGAGGGTAGTTAATTCATTGAGCAAATACCAATTTTGGTCCCACAAGTATTAGCAAAAGGACAATTTTGGTCCACATGTTTAATTCCTACTAATTTTCATCCGCGGCTATTGTTTTACTACCAATTTTCATCCGCGACTATTGTTTTAGTGCCAAAATTCATCACGCCGGTCACCCCTTCGTTTGAGACATGCCGAAATATGAAATTATGAAAGGTATTTTCGTTCTTTTCAAATTAAGATCTTGTTTTGAGCACGAATAAAGGAATTTAAGCTTTAAGATCGGTCCCAATTCGCAGTTCTTCTCCTCAAATTAAGGTAGAATGGGGAGGAGAAATGCGAATTGGGATCGATCTTAGGACTTAAATTTCTTTATTCATGCTCAAATTGGGATCTTAAGTTGAAAATGACGAAAATACCTTTAAAAATTTTAGATTTCGGCATGTCTTAAACGGAAGGATGATCGGCGTGATGAATTTTGACACTAAAGCAATAGTCATGGGTGAAAATTGGTACTACAATAATAGTCGTGGATGAAAATTGGTAGGTAAACATGTGGACCAAAACTTTCATTTTGTTAATACTCGTGGGACCAAAATTGACATTTGCTCTTAATTCATTGGTATATATATCAATCCATAAAAACACAATAGGGTAACTCAACTGGCAAATGAGCTCTCTTTGTGGGGAGAATATTGAGATAACCCGGGTTTGATTCCCGCAAGTGATGATCCCATTTGGGCCAGCTTCTAAACGGACAGAGAAAGACTTGGACCACATTTTAAATTTTATTTATAAATAAATATGGATATGTATATATATAATAAAATGTAAGTATATGTGTGTAATTTTTTTTTTTGTTTTGTTATTGCAATAAAAATTTATTTGTTTTTTTTTTTTTTTTTTGAAGAAGAAAAACTAATTCATTAAATCATGAATAAGAGAGTCCACAAGAAAAGATGGAGGGGAATCAAACCATTCCCCGCAACCTGACACAGAAAAGGCCTCCCTAGCAACAATATGGGCGGCACTATTCGCAGATCGCTTTACACAGTAGAAATCTACATCTACAATCTCAGAAGCTAAACCTTTAATGTCCTCAATTAAAAAACCGAAACTAGAATTAAAAGGCTGCGAACGTAAAGCATTAAAAACAGTTTGACAGTCCATTTCCACATCAACATCTCCCATTCCAGTAGCCTTTAACCAACTCAAAGCCTCTCGTATGCTAAGTGCCTCTGCCTCTTTAACCATATAAACCCCCGGCAACCTCACATTCTTAGCAGCTAGAAAAATTCCATTATCATCTCTCAACACCCAGCCTACCCCCATTTCATTACTTTCCTGCCTGAGTGCCACATCTGCCTCTTCAACTTCAACTTCAAAAATTTATTTGTAAACACTTAGGAATAGCTAATAAGGGTTTTCTGAAAGTGGTTGACTATTCTTTTTACAAATGAAATAACTCATTCTCATAAATACTATTATTGAAAATAAAAAGTAAAAACAAACAATAAAATATAGATTCAAGTGTCAAATCACACAATGAACCAATTGCGATATGTCATGCCGCACCCTAATCTTTCATATATGTTGTTTCAATGCACAAACCATAAAATTAAATTTTGTTCATCTAGACTTTTTAACAGGTTGCCATCAAGTTATAGGTTATAATATGCTAACGTGGAGGGTTTTTTTTTTATTGACCAACATTTTTTACTTTTCTGCACCGTCTTTCTCCATTTATGATTCATCATTCCAGCATCAACATCAATACTTTCTCCATTTATAACGCCGGGAAGATTCGTAGGAAAGATCGTCGGTTCCGATTGTCGTAACCACAACTCAGCTTCGCCAAGAGGATGCTAGACCAGCTGTCACACGAACGAGGAAGTGCTACTGCCGCCGGAGGTCCAGCCACCGTTGCTTCACTCACCAGAAACAGACAGATCTCCGGTCGTCACTACAAGAAGTCGCCAACCACCAACACCGCAGCTGTCTCGTCGCCGTTGCTGCTTCCAGGTGCTACTATCGTTGTTGCTAACCACGCTGCCCTCGTTCACTCCATGGCTGCCGAGAGTGGAGACCAAAGGCCTCTGCCGCACGCCTTCGCCGGGGCTCCTGTAGTCCAGAGAGTGACATAGATAGAATAGATAAGCTGGAGAAGAACAGAGAGATAAAGAGAGGCGTGAAGAAGCTTGTGAATTGCTTGAACAGAGAGATAAAGTAAACCTCAAGAATCTGAAAAAGGTGCTTCTTCACCAAGTGGTATATATGTTGGTTTTGGTATCATAATTGGTCTTTAGTTTAGTTACAAATTCACACCCTAACGTTCGAGATCTTTGAACCATTTTTGTTCTACAGGCCCTCTGAGAAAATTTTGAAAAAACAAGGTTGTCACCTCCCAAATTGCTAGAACCATAACCATCAAAGATGTAATTGTTTCCCTCGAAATGGAGCCACAGATGTCCAGATCTACATTAGTATATCGTTTGTAGGAGAGAATCGGAGAATGAAGATCAACCAGAGAATGAAGGTTGCGAAACTTCTAGGCGATTTACAGAAGGAGCTTAGTCGAATGACCTTCAGTCTACATCAGCACATAGTCCTTAAATGGGTGTTGAATCTTAAAAATAAGTTCACATCAACACATAATCGTTGCCATGTCATCAAGGCAACCTGAAAACCTGCTAAAAAGTATAAACGAACAAAATTTTATGGTTTGTATATCGAAACAGGCAAACAGCAGATATGAGAAAGATCAAGATGCGGAATGACATATCGCAATTGGTTCATGGTGCGATTTGACTCTTGAGCCTGAAATATATTTATTCATGAAAGTATTATTTCATCATCAACATATTTCATGAAAAATGGCCATTTGCCCATTTCAAGAGAAGTTACCCATAATGGAGAATCCCAAGGAATCCATTTCCCCCCTTAATTTGCTTGCTTTATATTATTACGTGTAAAAGAAAGCAGAAGGCGTCCCTGCCAAGAAATCTCCAACTCAACCTCCCTTCTCCTCTCTCTCTCTCTCTCTCTCTCTCTCTCTCTCTCTCTCTCTCAGTTTTGCCCAATCCAATTCGCCGCCTTATATTTACTCTGTGTGTGTGTATATATATATATAGATGTATGTATATATGCAGTAGTTCTCACGCCGAAATAATAACATAAAATGTACTTGTTCCTCTCTTCTCAAGTTTCTTCTTGATAGCCTGATCATAGCTTCTTCTCTTTCATTATTGGCACCAAGGTATCCATTGTTGCTTCTTTATTAATCTCAGAATCTCCCCAGCGGCCAGCATTATCCTCTTCATTTATCCAATTGAGCAGAATTTTATTTATTTATTTAAATATATACTATTTTGAAATTGGGTTTAATCCAATTGCAGCATTTGATCTAATTTCTCTTAGATCCCAAGTTCTGTAGTTAATCTTGCTTCTGGGCTTTCTTCTGCTTTGACAAAAGGTCCAATCTCTTTGTTGCTTTGAATTACTGGGTTTGAATTCTTAGATTTATGAATTTCATTTGGTGGGTGATCGATTAATTGTGATTTTGATGCTTTCTTTTAGGGGTTGGAATTGGAAGATTCAGAAGATGTTGGGAGAATTCATAACCAGTAGCCTAGTGTATGTAATCACTTTTTTTCTATTTTTTTTTCCCCACTTCTACTCATGATTTGATTCTCTGTGTTTTATCTTTAGATTTTTGCTTTAATGCTTTTTCTGAGCTTTAAATACTTATTTATTGTTGATTTTCTGAATTGTTCGTTGACAGATTGATTCTTGGCTATGCCTACCCTGCTCTTGAATGCTTCAAAAGTGTGGAGAAGAACAGAGTTGACATTGCAGAACTGCGTTTTTGGTGCCAATACTGGTATGCCTCTCATAAAAAAAAAAAAAATGAATTTGTCAATCACATAATGTTATGTTAATTATTTACTGTTCATATCTTATAAAATGTATAATCTCTATGTACAAGGTAATTATCACTTTTTATCTGAACAGAAATTTTGATCTTTGAATATACATTATTAGAGTTAATGCATCTGGGTCTGTGGAGTATAGTTATTTTGTCACGTTTAGTCTTAGAATTTCAAGTTAACACGTGGTTCTTCAACTTTCATGTTTTAATCAGTCATGGTCCTTCAACTTTTTAAATTTTAACTGGTGGAACCGGCTAACATTTGAAAGTTGAAGGATCGTAGTTAACTTGAAAGTTTAAAACTAAACTTGACAGATTCACTATACTCGTCAGACCCCGGATGACATTAACTCATTATTATTATTATTATTATTATTATTATTATTATTATTATTATTATTATTAGAGTTAATTCCATTTTTTGTCCTAGATTTATAGGTGACAGTTCACTTTTAGTCCTTTTTTATCTGAACATCCCCTTTTGGTCATAGTATTATTGTGATGTGACTAATTTTAGTCCTCTATTAAAAAAATTTTGTTGAAATTCCGTTAAATAGAATGATCTTTTTAATACAAAGTGTCTTGACCCGTAATATATTTTATGTTTATTTTTTGAAAAAAAAATCATAATTGAAGAGCGAAATGCTCTTGTATTTAACAAAATTTCAATGTTTTTTTTTATATAGAGGACGTCATATCACAATAATAGTAGGACAAAAAATGGATGTTCTGATAAAAAGTGACTAAAAGTGAACTTTCACCTATAAATCTAAGATCAAAAATGAAATTAATTATTATTATTATTATTATTATTATTATTATTATTATTATTATTATTGAATATTATGTTTTATAAGTCTTTGTGTCATGGAATTATATTTACAATAATGCTTAAATGGGATTTTAATTGGATGAATTTAGGTGAGCTAATGCAACCAATAATTTGTTCACAAAGGAAAAAAAAAATAAACATGACATCTAATCAATATCAACTTTGAATAGTTTGAATAGTTTAATCCTTACCAAAAACTTTGAATAGTTTAATGAGTTGAGTGGTTATTTGACAATGACATGAGGAGATGCTTTACATAGGATTGGACTGACTAATATAAAATAACCTATTTTTTAAAAAAATATAAAATAACCTTGTAACGTGGTTTTAATGGTTTTTTTTTGTTCCAAGTAATTGTCTATTATAAATGAAAAGCAATTTAATGCTGAAATAGGATTTACAGAATTACAGGTAAAGACTTGACTTAAAAGACTTCAAACGTCTTCCTCAATTAAAGATTAATTAAGAATTTGGTGATTTTTTTTTTTAAATAAATCTTTCTTGATAAATTTAACTTCTGATTGTACTTTAAGGGTCCGCTTGGATTCTGAAAAATATTTCCTAAAAAATAAATTATTTTTCATAATATATTTTTCTTTCCAGTGTTTGGTTGCATTTTAGAAAACTGTCTTGGTGTAGTGCTGTCAATACGGGCCGTGGGCCTAAACGGGGCGGGCTAAAAAAGCCTGCTCCTAAATGGTCTTGGGTTTGACATGCCCGGACCGCCCCGCCAGTGGCCCGCAGGCTAGGTGGGCCCCCACCCAAACCCCCTTTTTCTTAAAAAAAAAATTGTTCATCAAACATCAAACTAATTAAAATAAATTGATACATAAGTCATAACTCACATAAAACATAATAATCAAACATTAAATATTACATAAATTTCAAAGTTCATAGTTCATCAAACATCAAACTAGTCACAACTTCAAAGTCCAAAACATTACACATAACAATAATTTTAAAGTGCGTATTTTATATAAAGTAAAATAAAATAATGGCGGGCAACTCGCGGCCCGAGGGCCTAAGCCGGATAGGCCAAAAAAGGCCGCTCATAAACGGTCCTGTATTTTCGAAACCCTCGTCCCTACCGCGAGCTAAGCCCGTTTTGACGGCTCTATCTTGGTGTGTTTGGTTCATTTTCTAAAAAATGAGTAGAATTGTATAATTAGACATTTTAATTATTTTATTTAGAATATAAAAATATTTATAATAATATTAAATATAATTTAATTTATTAAAAATTATAAATAAAAAAAATCACTGGTTTCCGTCGGAAACCAGAGCTATGATTTTCGGTGGAAACAAGACCACTGGTTTCCATTGGAAAACTTGTTGTGTGTTTGGCAGAAGTCATTTTCCGCCAAAATAACCTTATTTTCTTCAGTCAACGAAAAATGTTTTCCATTGACTGAATTTTCCATGTACATCCAAACACTGGAAACCCGAAAAATGATATCCAGAAATCATTTTTTGAGTTTCCAAACACATCCTTATTTCTTGTTTTAATAATACTTTTGGTGCATTGAATATCATAAGTCGATTCTGAAGGCCATAATTTTCATTTTTTCAGGATAATTGTTGCGTTGGTTAGAGTACTGGAGAGTATTGGCGATCTTTCTGTCTCATGGTATGCACTATTTAAGCTTTGTTGGTTTGAACTCAAATAACTTGATGTTTTAGTTCACAGTCCACAAAATTTAATAATTATTTACATTTTGTTTTTTAAATATAGGATGCCAATGTATACCGAAGCAAAGTTGGCACTTTTCATCTACTTATGGCATCCTAAAACAAAGGTACTTAATATTTTTACTGACTGTTATATCAATTGATGTGATCTGTGACAAATATCACAATTCTTTATATTCAGTTAAAATTCAAAAATAAGTTATCAAATATCAAGATGTTATTAAATATTGGAGTAGTTTGGTGGTAATAAATATTTCTTTCTTAAAATAAAAGATTGGAAATCAAATCCCACCAAACATGTATTTTTACACTCAAATTCATAAATAAATAAAGAAGTGGGCTGACTCGCCCGCTGCCGGGCCATTTGTTATACCATGGACCAGGTCCACCTTATAAGGTGGGGCAAATTTTATGCTGTGAAATTTATTCATTTTGTAAGGTGGGCACAATTTTAAAATTGTTATAATTGTGAATATAGAGTTCAAAAATTATGAACATAGAATTCTATAATTATGCACATAGAATGCTGTAATTGTGAATATAGAGTTCAATAATTATGAATATGAAGTTCAAAAATTATGAACATCGAATTTTATAATTATGAAGAGTTCAATAATTATGAACATAGAGTTATGTAATTGTGAATATAGAGCTCAATACTTGTGAATTTGAAGTTCAAAAATTATGAACATAAAGTTCAGTAATTATGAATATAGAACTGTGTCCACCTTGCACAGTCCACGACATAACAATTGATAAGGTGGACCCTTGTCCTAAATTGTGTATATTAGTATTTGAATTGTGAACATTTGGAATATAAATTGTGTTTCTAAGTTTTGAGAATTTGTAAATATAATACAGGTTCATCACAAATTGTGAATTTTTAAAAGTTAAATTGTAAACATTTAGTATGTAAATTGTGTATATTTGAACATGGTCGTCAAATCGAGTCTACAAAATAATTTGCCCTGTCGGGGCCAATTGTTATACAGTGGACCGTGCTATGTGGACCATGGTCGTCAAATGAAACTGTAGTAGAATTAAAATGAACTTTAAAATTGCTATAATGAAACTAGTGTGTGTGGAAAATGAAATAAAAAACAGAGCTCATTTAGCAACGTAATTGTCAAATGAAACTGTAGTATAATTAAAATGATATTTTAGTGCTATTATAATTAATCTAGTATATGTGTAAAATGAAACTAAAATCCAGAGTCATACGATAACATATATTGTCAAATGAACTTAGAGTGTAATTAAAATAATACTATAATATTACTATAATTAAATTAATGTGTGTGGAAAAAAAACTACAAAATAGAGCTCATGCAATAAAGCATATTGTCAATGAAACTATAGTAGAAGAATTAAAATGATACTTTGGTATTGCTATAATGAAACTAGTGTGTGTGAAAAATGAAACTGAAAAACAGAGCTATATTGTTAAATGAAACTAAAGTGTAATTAGAATGATACTCACTTAATAGACCACACAATTACATAGACCATGGTCCACATTAAAATTTGCCTGTCGGGGCGGGATGGGCCTAGCCATTGGTGGCTCGCGGGCTTTGTACTGCGTTGCCGGCTCATATATTCACAAATTAGTTAATCTCGAGATGAATTAATGTAGGGGACAACGTATATCTATGAAGCATTGTTGAGGCCATTTGTTGCAAGACATGAAGGGGACATTGACAGGAGATTCTGGGAATTTAGAGCCAAAGCATGGGACTTAGCCATCTATTACTGGCACAACTGCACAGAGTTAGGACAGGCAAAGATCCTTGACATGGTCGAGCTCATGGCTTCTCCCTCTAGGAAGGGCACCCAAAAAAGCTCCGAGGTAAATCTTGAAATATCGTAAGTTTATTTACGATTTGTCACAAGTTATGTTTTTTCAGTGAATAGGAAAACTCGTCACCACTATCTGATCTCATTTGACTCAGATCTTTTAATTACTAGATAAAATTTCACTTTTGGTCTATTGACAATTATACATGAATCATATTTAGTCATATTAATAAAATATTCTAATTAGATGCATAACTATTTAATTTGTACGGAGTATCATATTTGGTCATGTCGTTCAATTTCTTGGCTAATTATTGCCAGAAGCGCTCATTCCAAAAGGAGCAATGCATTTGCTTCTTTTGGAAGGTGCACTCCTAAAATGAGCTCTGCATTTGCTTCTTTCGAAAGGAGCTTTGCGTTTGCTTCTTTCGGAGGGAGCACTTCACTTCCGGCAATAATTTTGAAAAATTAGACGATAGGATAAAATGTGATACAAATTACATAGTCATGCACCTAATTGATAAAATTTAATAGTCAAAGAACAAATATGATTCATATATAAGAGAAAATGGTCAAATAGGCCCTTAAACTTTACCTCAAAGGTCAATTAGCCCGCTAAACTTGACAAAAGTGCAATTAAACCCCCAAACATGTCAAAATGGGTCAATGAAGCCCAAAAATTGATAAATAACCTGTTATTACAGGTCACTTCAATTCCGGCTACAGATTTCGGCCACCAGCGAGGAATTCTGGCCATCGGTCAAAAATTCCCGTCACCGGTGACAAAACCCAGCCGTCCGGTCGTCTTCCGGAGAACGGCTAAATCTGGCCGTCTTCTCCAATGGAGAAGAACGACCTGATCCGGTTTTCTCCATTGGAGAAGGCGGTCGTCCGGTCTTCTTTTCCAGTGGAAGGCGACCGGACAGCCGAATTTTGTTGCCGGTGACTGGATTTTTTTGCCGGTCGTCGGAATTCGTTGCTGGAATTGAAATAACATGTAATAACAGGTCATTTACCGATTTTTGGGTTTCATTGACCTAATTTGACATGTTTGAGGGTTTAATTGCACTTTTGTAAAATTTAAGGGGCTAATTGACCTTTGGGGTAAAATTTAGGGGGGTGTATTCAATCATGACTTTCATAGAGTTTTAAAGACTTTTATGAACTTTAAAAGTTTGGAGGTATTCAATTCAAACTTTTAGAGAGTCTTTAAAAGTCAGGCGGTATTCAATCAAGATTTTTAAAGAGTCTTTAAAAGTCGTGTGGTATTCGATTAAGACTTTTAAAGAGTCTTTAAAAGTCATGTGGTATTCAAAAAGTTCTGAACTTTTGTAGACTTTTTAATTTTAAGACTTTTGTAGACTTTTCCTAGTCTAATATAAATAGTTGAAATCCAACCATCAACCCCAAGATTTCAAAATTTTCTTTCTAACAACTTTGAATGTTTTCTCTCTCTATTTAAACTTTATTTTTTCCATATTTAAATTTTATAAACCTATCTAAATTCAATAAAATTATTTTTTTCTTCATTATCCTATATTTTCCTCATACCTAAACTCTACCAATTTTTCTCTCTCTCCTAAACTTTACCATCTTTATCTAAAAATTCGAAATAATATTATTTCTATTTCATTATTATTGCCTGTTTATATTGATTTTTATTTTTTATATGAATTTTTTATCCCTAACTTTCTCTAATTCTCCCTAAATACATGAACAAATCAAAATTTTCATCCTCAAATTTTAGTATATGTTTCATAATATTCATATAAATATTTATATATTTTGATTTTTTTTATTATGTTTATATTCGTAATATATATATTAACAACAGGTTACTACGAATAGCGAACTACTATTCGCAACAACAATTTGGGGTTGCAAACAGTAACACCTTGTTGTTCACAGTCTCAAATTACTATTGCAAATAATAGCTCTTTGCAGGAAGCCTAGCAATATATCAAGTATAATTTTTTATATATATATATTTTTTTGAAAACTTGTATATATATTATTAATATTAGATTTTTATTTTTTTATTTTTTATTTATGCAACTTGTAATTATATTTTTAAATATTTTATTTGATTAATTCTTTTATTATAAATTTTATTGTTCAATATTGTTATGAATTTCTAATGAAATAGTTTTTTTTTGTTGATGTTTATTAATAATATATATAAGTAATTAGCATTTTTTTTTGAAGAATAAGTCATTAGCATATAAGTCTCAGCATACTATGGATAAAAATAATAATGTTGAGAATGTTGATATGGGTGAAGAACTATATAATAAGAGCATTCAAAAATAATATAATAAGAAGAATTTTATGATATATTATAAATGTTTTGTAAGAAAATTATAAATGATAAGAATAAAAATCATTGAATGTTTGTAAGGATGTATTCAATTTAGAATTTCAATGACTTTTGTAGACTTTTTAAAATAAAAAGTCGATAAAAGTCTATGAATGTTTTTTATATAGACTTTTATAGAGTCTTATAAAGTTTTAAAAAGTTTTGAACGACTCTATGAAAGTCAATCAAAGTTTATTAAAATCTATCATTTTAAAAGTCTTTAAAACTTTACAAAAGACCAAAAGTCATGATTGAATACACCCCCCTTAGAGTCTATTTGATCATTTTCTCCATATATAATAATCCAAGGACGAAAAGTAAAATTTATTCTAATTACTAAAAGACTAATCAATTTGACCGTCCCATTTGTCACAAGTTATTGATGATCACGTTGTATATTGTTTTCTTCTCGTAGAAGAAGGACAAACACAACCGTCATAGCAGCGCACCGCCGCCGCCGTCGCCACCCCCACCTCCTAGCTCATCTTCCGGCTTTTTCAAGAAGAAATCGTCGGACAAGCGGCGGACGTCGCCACCACCTTCTCCGTTTTCAACTTACCGATCAATATCACAACCGACTAAGTCAAATTTGGTGGAGGTTCAACTTCCGGACCAAACACAAGTCGTATATTCCGGCGAAAATTATATAGTAGATTCAGAGAGTGTATCTAGCTATGAAGATCGTTCGCGTGGCTGGATATCGAGATTTAGCCGTTCCAGAGGCCGTGGTTAGATTTAGAATATGTAGAAAATCTGTGAAACTGTAAAAAGGGAAACCAGTTGTAATCAAAACTCGAATTTATTTATTTAATTATATTATTAACTTTGATTGATTTTTCAACTCCAATGACGTCGTCACGGCTGTTGATGAGGTAGGAACCATAGTCGTGGTAGATATGGAGTTCCGGCTACAAAGAGGATTCCACAGTTATTCTGCCGCCGGTGATGCTGTTATGCCACCGTACATCATCCTCTAGAGGGGGGTGGGTGGTGGTTCTGGTAAATATCCATTAGTTAAAAAAAAAAACAATGAAATGGGGGTGGTGGTTCTGGAATTAGACGTGACAGTTCACTCTTAAAACATAATTTGTGTAACAAAATCATAAAAAGTAATTACTTTAATTTTATGGTAACAATAACAACACGTCACGTTAAGTAACACTTTATCATCAAATTATTAATAATATTAAGTAACACTTTATCATTAAAGTATTAGTAATATTACTCTTTTAAAAATTTTGTAATCTAGTGATATAAAAAATTATAATTTAACTCCAACATATAAAAAAATAAATAAAAGTGTTAGGCCCACGTTTAATTTTGAGGTAAATTACAAAGTAATATTTTAGTCACAATTTGAATAGCTTTTTCATATTTTATAAATCATTTTTGCGGTGTCTCATTAACAATTAAGATAATAATACTACTTGAACAAATACCTATGCTCTTACATGTGAGGACACATCTTGAGCACACATACACATATGTATGAGATACCATGGGAATGATGCTTAATTGGTTTGAGAAATGAGAATAAATCTCATTCATCAATCACAAAACAATGAGAATATAAAAGCTTGGTCCAATGAGTATGTGGGAGTTGCAAGTACCATTGATTTAATATGTGCTCCCCTCCCCCTCCCCCTCCCCCACCTTTGATAAAAGCCTCTCTTTCCACCCATTAACCATATGACCGTATTCTATCTCTAATTGACCTAAAGATCTTTCTATTAGACTTACAAATAACTGTTTATAGTCAAGGAATAATTTACCATTAGATCCCACTTCCTTTAAGTAGAAACCAAATCAAACTAGTACAGGGTTAACTGTTTTTTTTTTTTTTTTTTTTTGTTTTTTGTTTTTTTGTTTTTTCTTGAATGCTATTGGCTCTAGCACAGGGTAGTATCTGTTCTATACTTTCTCTAATTAACTACTGCAGCCTAAAGAGTCAATACCCCACCAGGCCACCACTAGAGTTCGATCCTGTGACCTTCCCTCAAAGGGAGCCACAGAGGTGCCATATGAGCACATCACCAAAGCAAACTGGTTAAGAATGCAATTAATAACTTTTTATTCTTGCTTGGATGCTCTTATTACAAAGACTAGTATTTTCACCTGTGCGATACACGGAATGGAATTTGATGGAGAACAATGTAATGGGCCTGGCCCATATAGATTAGGGAGTGTGAGCCCAAAGGGATGAGGAGGGGGGCTCACACGCATGGGCTCGCATGCATGCGGGTGGAATGCCGGCTATTGCATGCGTGCGCGGGGTGGCGGCTACGTACATGCATGCATGTGGGTGGAATGACGGCTAGTGCATGCATGCTGCGCACGGAAGGGTAGCTGACGGAGGGCAGTGCGTATAGGAGCAAGGATCCCAGGATAGTGCGCGACAAGATCGGTCCCGTTCGAGCAGTTGGGGGGGGGGGGGTACGTGCGGCGAGGGGAGGACACGTGTATGGTGGGAGCTGGAGGCTTGTAGATGTTGTATACGTGGGTGGTATGCGGAAGTCTTGAGAGGGCATAAAAGGGGGGGGGGGGGGGGGTTGCGGTCAGTTTAAGACAGGGCAAGAAACACAAAAGACCTGGTAACCTGGCGGTCTGAGTCTTCTCTCTCTCCTAATTGGTCCAAAGATCGATTCTGGTATTATGCATGTAATTCAGGTTTCTGTCTATCCGTTTATTTCCCTTTTCACCGTATAACTTTCCTGTACTATTGTTTCTGGGCCTGCGACATTGGGCTTGTGCGCGTTTATGTGGGCCTCGCGCCCCACAAGCAATAATAGCTCTTTTATTCCGTTCTATATTTCCTATACCCGGTTTATGGTGGACCCGATTTCATTAAAACCATTATTGGCACCGTCTGTGGGACTCGTTACAAAAAGCGTGCATCCCTAGCTTTACCCATCCTCTCAAATTCTATCACGCACTCAAATCCCAGCGAGCACCCAGATGAACAGATCCGTGTTCTCAAGACCCGCTACCTTGCCATACTGTGTTATACGCCCAATTCCCGAAGATGATCATGGGATCCCAAAGCCGGTTCCTGAGGGCGCCAGTCTCCGACGCGAGACAGCGGATCCCGCCCCCAGACGGAGGACAAGGCGTCCCTATCAGCGTCCGGCGGGCCCACTCAACTCCGCCCATGCAGAAGGCCGCCCGCGCTGGCCGCGAGGCCAATAATGCAGGGCCTGCGGCCCCCAAGGCCTGCCTCTCTCATTACGGCCCGGGGCGACGCGAGAAGCCCGTGGCCGATGCCAGTGTGGGCAACAGGAGGATCGCACCCCAAGACCGAGGCTCGGAGTGGGGCCGGGTAGGCGATGCGGACAGGCACGCCTGCGATGACGAGTCAGAAGGAGAAAGTGCCCACCAGGCCGTGACGGCGGACCCTGGTGGCGGATACCCAGTCCGCTCTATAGCTGGGGGGTGGGCGAAAGGTATGGAGGCTAAGATAGCCGAGCTACTCAGGTGGAAGGAAGGGGGCGGATTACCCGTCCCAAAGATCGAAGTCACCCTGCCCTTCACCAGGAGAATCATGAGGGAGCCCATCCCCTCCACCTTCAAGCCGCCCAGCATCACACGTTAAATATTATCTCTTCCGTTAATTTCTGTTAGTTCACCGTTAACTTACTCATTGATTTCAATAAGAAAGATCTTAGGTTCGAACCACATCCCAATCAAAGTTGGCATAATTAGTACTCTATTTTACTCTTATTAAAATAAATAAATAATAATTTAGTAGCTACAACAAAAAATAATACATATGCATTTCTTTAATTTAGAATTATGCATGTGTCTACAATGCCTTTATTCAAAAAAAATTATTCATTATCAATAAATTAAATAAGAGAAATAGTTTCATTAGGTATATTGTCTTTATTTTTCTCCAATATAAAAATTCTTTACATTCAAAATTCAAATTCATCAATTGATTATATTCGCTACATTGTCCCTACAATGTCTTTATTAAAAAAAATTATTCATTATCAATAAATTAATTAAGAGAAATAATTTCATTAGTTATATTGTCTATATTTTTCTCCAATGTAAAAATTCTTTACATTCAAATTCATCAATTGATTATATTCACTATATTGTCTATTATCTTTTTTGTGCACTATTTTTTAATTAAATATCAGTTATAATACAAAATAATGCTATATATTTATTTACCAAGTATTTTATTAATACCATGAAATTTTTTTTAAAAAAATTGAATTAATAAAGCGAGGGATTTGTTGACAAAGAGAGTATTCAAACGACACAACAAATTGAAGTGAGAAACTACCTCGCAATGTCCTTGTTTGAGAATCAGTAGTTAGCGGTTAGCGTTAGCGGATTATATTTGCGGATTTGACTAGCGAATTATATCAACGGTTGATAAAAAGATATTTGAAAAAATTAATTAGCTATTTAAATTAACATTTAAAATGACCTAAGGATATAATAATAATAATAATAATAATAATAATAATAATAATTATTTTAATAATAATATTTTTTTTAAAATATAGATGTGTTTTGGGAAAATCATTATAAAAAGGTTAAGTGAAAATATTATAAATTGCAATGTTTGTATTTTCAGTGGTTTGGAACAAATTGTTGCTTCAAACTGTTCAATAACCAAAACACTTTCGTTAGCATTTTTATCTTTGGGTTACATCATATTTACCAATCGTCCAATATCTTTGGGTTACACTATAATTATAAAATTTAAATTTTTACTACATCTAAATTCCTTAAATTAGGAATTTCTTTAATTTATTCAACAATAATGGTTGAACTAAATGAACACTGAGCAAATCACCTAAAGGACGGGTACCGTTAATTCAGTCATTGATCTTGTATATATGTGCATTCATTAAATATATTAGAACCCTTTGCAACAAAAATACTTGGTTACTATTTAAAAAAAGTTTAGTAAAAATTATAATGAATCTCCTATATTACATTGTATTCATATACTATGAATTATTACATACTTAAATAAACCAATTAGACATTAAATTACTTATGTTGAACTTCTCATATATAATATTGCATTTATATACTTTCAAATATTTATTTAAGGGAAAATGACACTTTTTCCCCCTGAGTTATATACCTATAGCATTTTTTCCCCCTAAGTTATTGAAGTGGCTGTTTTTCCCCCTGAAATGTTAAATGGACATATTTACCCTTAAACTAAATATTTAATTTATTTTTTTCTCCAACAAATTATGACTATAATTTGGTTCAAACTAAACAAACACTATAGCAACCAAACCGAAATATTCCAATTACAATTTAGAATCGAAATTCGATATTTAGAGTTTATTAAAATCGTGAACCGGAACGGACGGTTCATGTTCCGAAAAAAAATAAAATACATTTATTGTTGAATTTGGACTATTTTAAAATAAAAAATAAAATTTTAAAATAAAGACGGTTCAAAACCGCGAATCAGATCCGGAACCGCTGGTTCACGGTTCAAGATTCAATTTTTTGATACATAATTTTAATAAATTGACATTTAAATATTGGGTTCTAGATCTGAATTATAACCGTAAACTATTAATTCGATTGTTTTAGTATCCGGTTCAATTCAAATCGAACCGTGGTCATCCCTACGTATACGCAATAATTTGTTGGAGTAGTAAAATAAATAAAATGTTTACTTTAAGGGTATAAATGCCAATTTAATATATCAGGGGGGAAAAAGCACCACTTTTATAATAATTGAGGGGGCTAATGTGCTTACCTAAATAATTGAGGGGGAAAAAGTGCTATAAGTATATAACTCATGGGTAAAAAGTGCCATTTTCTCTTTATTTAATTATAAACATTGGGTAGAAAAAG